TTACTTACTTACTTACTTACTTACTTACTTACTTACTTACTTACTTACTTACTTACTTACTTACTTACTTACTTACTTACTTACTTACTTACTTACTTACTTACTTACTTACTTACTTACTTACTTACTTACTTACTTACTTACTTACTTACTTACTTACTTACTTACTTACTTACTTACTTACTTACTTACTTACTTACTTACTTACTTACTTACTTACTTACTTACTTACTTACTTACTTACTCCTGTTACACCTCACAAAGGAGCATAGGCCGCTCACCAGCATTCTCCTTCCAACAATGTCCTGAACAATCCTTTCCAGCTACTTCCAGTTCTTATTCATCGTCTTCATATCTCATCCTACTTCCCAACCTAATGTGTTCTTTCGCCTTCCTCTTTTCCGTTTCCCTTCAGAATTCCAACTAAGGGCTTGCCTCGTGATGCAGTTTGATGATTTCTCACATATATGTCCTATCCATCTCCATCGTATTTTCCTAATTTCCTCTTCATGTGGAAGCTGGTTTCTTCTCTCCCACAATAGGCTGTTTGTTGTTGATGGTATCGGGCAAATGAATGTTGAGTATATTGCGTAGAAAATTACTTATATATACGTTTACTTTCTTGATGACGGTTGTAGTAGTTCTCGAAGTTTTAGATCCGTAACTTCGAACTGTCTTGATGTTCATATTGAATATTTTCAATTTGATATTGGTTGATAGTTGTTTTGAGTTCCATATGTTCTTCAATTGTAGGAATGCGGCCCTTGCTTTGTCAATCCTCGCCTTTACGTCTGCATCTGAACTTCCCTGTTTATCGATGATGCTTCCCAGGTCCAAATATAATTTGATATAAATTTTTTATTTTGTAATTCATTACAAACTGTATCAACAAATTACTGTCATTCACATACGATCAACGTTTTCTATGTTTTCAATGACAATTTATTTATTTATTGGAACACATAAATATTTGTTTGAATTGGCATCGAATACATGTGCATCATACAAGTCACTTGATTTGTGTGAAGGCTGGGATACTGCCCGTGTGCCCAAATCGAAACAGGTGGTTTTCTTAGGGGATCACTCATCAGGCCTTCGACCTAAAGGTTTGATTCACAATGCAGTGGAGCACCGAAAGGAGATACAGTCTTATAGTGGCCGGTGACCATCATTAGGTTCGTATATCAATTGTTCTTTCATGATACTGGAGCCTATATACACCACTGGTTTGGAATCAGGGTTTTCCAACTCCTCTAGATGGATCCTCCATATACACGAACCCTGTCAAAGCGCCGGATATTCGCTTTTTGTCTTCGCAATTTTGTAAATTCAGCGAGTCACACTTCAATAACAGTTCAGCCAGCATTACGTATCCATGATCTTATATTACAGTTGCATTTGTTCCCTTTTTGTATTTTTCCAAATTCACATCATTCTTATGTGTTCCAAAACAATTCTGTGGTTACGAAAAACCGATTACACTGTAACAATTACATTTTTAAGAATGATAAATACTGACACTTGTATGGCCTGCAGTTTAGGCGATACTAAATCGTACAGACTGAAGCTAATGAAAATGTAGTTAAACGCTTGACGAGCTTATTACAGTCTTTCTGTAAATGTAATACGTGGCATTCTTTAGACATCATTTTTGGTATATATATATGCTTCATATTCATTTCATGGAAGGTGAGAAGAAACTACCCTGTTATCCGATAGTACGCATTTTTTTCACATCTTATATGTGAAACATATGCAACATGCACTAAGCCGTATGTCCTTCATGCATGAAAACATATGAATATGTTCAGCCTTATATTTTCAAAACATTAATTTATGTATTTAGGCTAATTTTATTAAATTCCTACGACAATCATGGATGGTAACTGTCGGAATCTATTTATGGACCATTATAACACATATAATTTTTATTGCACAATTGTTAAGTAGTTCAACTTTGCATATTCATGTTCTTCTTATTATAAGCTTCCATTTGATCTATAGACTATTATTATACGATTTACCATTCTTGAATTATACCCAAGTCTATGAATTACTACCCTTCACATTTACAGTCATATTTGGCTAAATCTTGTACAAATATTGTTTACTATTTTATGATACGATGTGATCTGTCTGGTTGGCATATAAACCCAGTATGCTCATACGAGTTTATGTGTCTTCGGTCTTGTCGATAATTCACTGTTCACCAATTGGCAGTATCGTTACGTTATACATTGATAGGGGCACAAACCAAAAAATTGTAACAAATTTGCATTAACCTTCATCAGTGTCATCTCGAGACCTCTCATTGAAACAGGACATCAAGTGAATATACGGAAGTTTTTCAAGTTGATTAATAAACAACAGAATGTCGATTGTTGAAATTCTCCGAAGTGATAGTGATCAAACATCTAAAACTAGATTTGTATGTCCAAAAAGAAACAGCGCTATATCTTTTGTTATCTTGATAACATCACATCCTTTTTATTGCATCATTCATTATTTCAATTCTTTGTGAAGTTTGATTACAGCACCATCGTTTCTCCTTAACCCCTAATTGAGTGATTTCTATTCTTATTTTTCTTTATTAACATTAATCTGTTTTCAATAATTGAGTCGATGAGTCAATTAAAGCTAGATCATCATAGAAAATCTGGAAGCACTGGATGGCCGTCTCGTCGTAGTATGGGAGTAATCAGCAGTGTGTATCTACGATCCTATTCGTGGGATTCAGACTCAGGACCCTCGGTCTCATGCTCAAACGCTTAATATGTAGACCACTGAGTCGGCATCCAATGGCGTTAATATCTAACTTCAACCAATCCAAGATAATAATCTGTTTTGAGTTGCTTCATTACTTAATCATCTAATGGTTGTTAACTCTATGAGTTCTAATCACTAATTCAATGTACTAGAACTTTCCTTCCAAAACTTTACGTATCCACAACAAAATATTTTTTCTGACCCTATTAACCCTATCGGAATCTTCGTTATATTATGATACATATATTTATTTGTCATCACCTTCGTGTGTATAAATATGTCAATATCTGTAATAACGTTAATTTAAAAATACTATAGGTTGTAAGTGGCAGATGAGAATCTAACATCAATCGGATCATGATCTCAATCAAAACTTAACAATCTCCACAACCCCTATACTCATAATTACCATGTGCTCACTGGTGACTAGTTTCGTGAGAAAATTCTCGGAGTTCTGGTGAGAAGCCGTGACCAGTGGAGCTAATTCATGTCGGGTAGAAACAGATGTCTACCTCAGTACAATGGAAGGTGGTTGCGCAATTTCATGGATTGGTTGAGGTTAGACATTAACACCATTGGATACCGGCTCAGTGGTCCAGTAGGTTAAGTGTTCGCGTGCGAGACTGAAGGCCCCGTGTTCGAGTCCCGCGAGAGGGATCGTGGCTGCGTACTGCTGAGGAGTTCCACAACAGGACGAAACGGCAGTCCAGTGCTTCGAGGTTTTTCATGGTGGTCTAGCTTACATCAACTCATGAATTCAATCATTAAAATAGACTCTAATAATCTATCGTGTGTTTGAATCAGTCACAATAAAACATATACATTTTCTTATTTCTATCTAAATCATAAGTTTCAATAGCCCTATATAACGATTCTCTTTACCTTTCCTAATTCTCAACCATATTCGGTCAGTGTTTAGTCCCTCATACTATCATTGATTTTACTATTATTTCGAATCTTTCGGTAACTCGGTCAAACACACATGGATACCAAGGAAAAAGATGATAAAGACTAACCGGTTGGTCCGTAATCATGATGTAGTATTCATATCTATTGTTCATATACATATATTTGTAGAAACATACCATGGTACCGACTATGATTGAAAATGCATTGAAATTTTAAATAAAACTTAATGTATACACTCATTTTGGTCATCGTCCAATACACCTAAATCTCTAGTTTCTTCCTATCAGTTCTATTAAGAGACATATCTAAGAATGAGAGATTTTTTTCGGACTCCTTTTGCAATATGAATTGTATACTGTTGATTAAATTCCAGTCATTTCTCAATTCATTCTTTTCAATGATGACAAATATGTTGTTCACATAATGTATCTGTATTATTGGCGTGATTACTAGTAAGATTAAAGCTATTAGTCGTCATAAAGACTACTGTTTCAACAATTGTTTCGTTATCTTATTATACTCTTGTGTGTATTTATGTACAAAATTTGATTTCTTCGGTATTATTCCTAGTTATACAATTCAATCCAAAGTTCCAACTGATTGAAGGTTCGAGACTCAAGTCACGTGTATGAGATCGTGGATATGCACTGTTGAAGAGTCCCATGCTGGAACGAATCAACCATCCACTGCTTCTAGGTTTACAATAGTTGTCTAACATTGATCAATTCATGATCTCAATCAAAAATCGTGACAATCTCCACAATCTCATACTGTTAATCCGGTAAATCTTTCTCTCGGTTGCATCGGTGCGCGTGCTTTATCATCTTTTCTTTCTTCATAGTGAAAAAAAAACAACCATACAAACAAATGAAAAGCATTTCATTTTATTTTTATCAATATAAAATCAGTGATTCTGACAGAATTCGTTAAAAGCAAATATGAATGTATCACGAATTTCATATCTTTTCAATTGATCCTCTTATTCGATATCATTCTAATTAAAGTAAAGTGAAGTAAGGAAGGAAGGAAGGAAGGAAGTAAGGAAGGAAGGAAGGAAGGAAGGAAGGAAGGGAATAGGGAAGTAGGGAAGTACATATAGTTTTCTTTAATTAAATTTGATATTTATATAAACATTTGCTATTCTTCAATATTGTACTTTATCAGAATTGAATTATCAAATTACTCAATCATGATTGTATAATATACCTCTTTTTTTTAATAAATAAATAAAAAACAAACATACAGAAAAACAGATAAAATTATAGATAAAGATAGAAAAAATTATTAAAAGAAAAATTCTCAGACAGACATCAGTTAAAATCTATTCAAGTTTCAATTTTTCCATATTGTGAAAAATATGCTGCTGTTGTTGTTATTGCTGTCGTTGTCGTTGCTGTTACTATCTTTCTCTCTGTAGTTGATGTTGTCGTCGTCGTAGCTGTCGTTGTTGTCTCTGTCGTTGTTGTTGCTGTCGTTGTCGTTGCTGTTGCTATCTTTCTCTCTGTAGTTGTTGTTGTCGTCGTCGTAGCTGTCGTTGTTGTCTCTGTCGTTGTCGTTGCTGTCGTTGTCGTTGCTGTTGCTATTTTTCTCTCTGTAGTTGTTGTTGTCGTCGTCGTAGCTGTCGTTGTTGTCTCTGTCGTTGTCGTTGCTGTCATTATCGTTGCTGTTGCTATCTTTCTCTCTGTAGTTGTTGTTGTCGTCGTCGTAGCTGTCGTTGTTGTCTCTGTCGTTGTCGTTGCTGTTGCTATTTTTCTCGCTGTAGTTGTTGTTGCTGTCGTCGTAGCTGTCGTTGTTGTTGTCGCTGTCTCTGTTATTATCGTTATAGTTACTACTTTTATTGTTTTGTTTGGTTGTTTTCCTTTTAAGAAAATAATCTGATTAGAACTATACTACATAATGTGATTTAAACAAACAAAAAAATAGTAAGATATTCGTTTGTTTTTAGATAACAAAATGAATGTGATTTATTTCTATTTTAATGCTTCTTATCCATTGTAAATTAGTTTAAAGTTATAATTAAATGAAAATTTTTGTATACAGTTTAATTAATGAAATTAAGTTTAATAAAGCAAAGACAAACATATGGAGGAAGGAGAGCAAGGAGATAATGACATAATTAACATAGTACTTTCAGATTGTTGATGAATACTTATAATTTAGAGACGAAATCATGCAGAGCAGAAGAAAAAAAAGAGGAAAAGGAAGAGAAGAATAACGTCATAAATACTAATTAGAAGACAACATTTAAAATCTTTCTCTTCACAAATGAATGATTCTATAATGATTCCTTCCAGTTGGTTGAAAATCTCATTTTAATATTGTGAAAGAATGTTAATGAAACATTTTGTTCTAAAGTTCGAAACAGAATAAGTGAATTATGCACATGAGGGAAACTTCTCTTGAAGCTCTTTTAAAAGTTTAATCTTAGCCTCAATGCTGGATAAAAGGAGTTGGTTAGGTGTAGGGATAGTAACTACATCCAATAAAAAGGAATCTCATTAAAAAGGTTTAATCGAATTATGAATTCAACTATGAAATGATTATCATTTTACTTAAACTCGATAGTTTTTCATCTAATTTTCTAAGGTGAACTCATTAACTCATAATTTAAAAGAAATGACATTAACTAAACTAAGACAATATTTGTGAATTTTAATTTCACAGACCAAATTGCGACACTACAGATCATCGTTGAACAATCAATTGAGTGCAACTTAACACTGTACATCAAATCCATTGGTTATGAAAAGGCATTTGACAGTGTACATAGGAGGACGTTATGGAAACTTATTCGACACTACGGAGTTCCTGTGAAGATTGTCAATATTATCCGGAACTCATACGACGGACTACAGTGGAAAGTAGTGCATGGAGGACAGCTAACAAATGCACTCCAAGTAAGGACCGGAGACAGGCAAGGCTGTCTACCCTCTCTCTTCCTCTTTCTTCTGGTGGTCGACTGGATTATGAAGACCTCGACATCCGAGGGAAAACACGGAATACAATGGACAACTCAAAACCAATTAGACGATCTGTACTTTGTAGACGATCTAGCCCTTCTATCACATACACACAAACAAATGCAGATGAAGACAGTCAGTGTATCTGCAGCCTCTGCAGTAGTAGGCCTCAACATATACAAGGGGAAAACACCAACACAATCACACTTGATGACGAAACTCTGGAAAATGTGGAGTCTTTCACGTGCCTGGGAAGCTGCAGACGTAAAGGCGAGGATTGACAAAGCAAGTACAGCATTCCTACAATTGAAGAACATATGGAACTCAAAACAACTATCAACCAATATCAAATTGAAAATATTCAATATGAACATCAAGACAGTTCGAAGTTACGGATCTAAAACTTCGAGAACTACTACAACCGTCATCAAGAAAGTAAACGTATATATAAGTAATTTTCTACGCAATATACTCAACATTCATTTGCCCGATACCATCAACAACAAACAGCCTATTGTGGGAGAGAAGAAACCAGCTTCCACATGAAGAGGAAATTAGGAAAATACGATGGAGATGGATAGGACATATATGTGAGAAATCATCAAACTGCATCACGAGGCAAGCCCTTAGTTGGAATTCTGAAGGGAAACGGAAAAGAGGAAGGCGAAAGAACACATTAGGTTGTGAAGTAGGATGAGATATGAAGAGGATGAATAAGAACTGGAAGTAGCTGGAAAGGATTGTTCAGGACGCCAAAATCCGAACTAAAGATACGAGATTCCTGTATATGGTCACCTCGCTTCCTAAGATACGACAAGAGGAAAAGGTTTAGTCGTTTTAAGCGTTCATCGTAAGGGAGATGGTTTGTGGCAAGTTTCATTGTTCTAAACATAGATTGATTTTAGTTAGATAATCAATGGAAAAAAGAAACAAGAATTATTGGACAAGTATTTTGTTCTATTGCAGGACGTATCAGAAGTGTGCATCCGATAGCACTGGAAGACGGTTGCATGATATCACGAATTAGTTAAAGTTAGCAATATAAATGACTGGATAATGTTCAGTGGTTTAAAAATTAAGTGCTTAACATGAGAGTTGAGACTCTTAAGTTTGACTCCTATTGGTTTATAAATATATATTTTGATGAGGAGTTTGATACTAGTATTGTAGTGAACGAGAGCACAAATAGGGTCAATCGAATGTATGTGCATACAAAATTACCAAACAACTTAATAAAATCTGAGATCCATACAGGAAATACTCCATTTCCAAAATGTTGATCAGTTGTCTCAGAATTCAGTATTCTTTCGTTTCCACACCAGTTATTCTCTATTCTCGTTCTCTTTTCTTCCATCCTCTTAACGTTCTGTAGTTAGGCCTTTCACTTTCGATTGATGATACATACTACTTATATCTGTCAACATCAGTAGCACACACGACAGTATGAAACATCTATACAATGACTACTAGTTTCCAATGGCTTTCTAATCAAGGTTATTCCGTGTTGTACACTACAAAAATACTAACATCGAATAAATTGGACAAAATATCTATCCCCTAATGGAAATGTTATAGAGTAAATGAATTTTTTTATTGATGTTACACCACCATTGAAAACTTGGAAGCAATGGATGGTCGTTTTGTCTTATTTTGGGACTCCTCAACAGTACGCATTCACGACCCCCCTCGCAGGATCCGAACCCAAGGTCTTCAGTCCTGCGTGCGGACGCTTAACCTCTAGACCATTGAGTCGGCATCCAACGGTGCTAATGTCTAACCTTAACGAATCCGAAAAATTGAGATGTCATGATCTCAAACAAAAACTTATTAATCTTCACAACCCCATACTGATCATTAGATGAATAGTTTATTTCTGAAAAGTTGACACTTACTATGGGATACCGACTCAGTGGTCTAGAGGTTAAGTGTTTGCGTACGAGACTGAAGGCTTTGGGTGCGAATCCCGCGAGCTGGATCGTGGATACGCACTGCTAAGGAGTCCCAAAATGAGACGAAACGTCCATCCAGTGATTCCAGGTTTTTGATGGTGGTCTAACATCAATCGGTTCATGACCTAAATTAATCAATCATTAATCTCCACAACCCTATACTGATAATTACTATGGAATTTATTCATATTTACATTCCTTATTTAGTCATCTTTTTACAGGTATAGATTTTTGAAAATCATCTTTTCATCTAGTACTAGCCATGAGTAGTAGATTGTCTTTCTTCTATGTGTTTACTCACTACCCTTAAGTTTACTTCCTTTCCTCACGTATATAACCATAGGATGTTATTACGTGAATGAGACAAGTCACATTATACCGGATCCATGATTCACAATAACTCACAATAGACAATCATCTGAATAGCAAAATAATAGTTTATTTAGTACAATTACAACGAAACAATTAAGAGTAGAAATCAATAAGAGAAAAGGAAATCACATACTTGATAGTCATCCATTCTCAATGACCAACCATATTTTATTTTCATTACCATATATCCATACATTTCTGAATTAGAATTTCGGTTGACAAGAGAAAAGAGATAACAGATGGAGACAATTATCCATCTCAGACGATGGATGAAGGATTGCATAAAGTCATGAATCGATTGAATTTGGTCATCAACATCGTTGAATTTCGACATAGTAGTCTTAAAGTTATGCATTTGCGCGCGAGACTGTAGGTCCTGGTCTTGAGTCTTGCATGTAGGGTATACATTGCTGAGGAGTCCCATTTTAGACTGTTTGTTTATGAGATAGAGATTTTATTATGATAAATTTGTATTCATACTCTTAAGCAGTCTGGTTAACATTAATTAGACATAATATTTTGCTGATGGACAAATCAGAATGAATCATTCAATCATTTTTCCATTGTAATTTCAAGTTAGTTAAAAGGGTACATTAATAATTGTTCTCTTGTTATAACTATAGATCATATCGCTCGTTCAACAAGACAAGAAATATTGATGTTTGTGACAAATTCAATGCACTTTTATTGTTGCACTTGTCCACTCTATCGTACATGGAAACATACAACTGAATCTAGGAAAACAGGGACATACTGTAAACATAAATTCTTGTAATTTACATTATAGACTTACCTTAGTTAGATAACAATTGAAAACGACAATGCACTGGATAGTTATTTGGTTCTATTATAGGACTAGTCGGTAGAGCACATTCACGAACTTACCAGCAATCGAAAAGAAGAGTTTCGGATCTAATATTCAATAGTTTACATTTTGTTTTTCGACTGATTGTTTTTGTTTTTCGGAGCGATAAAAGTAGTTGCCAAAGACATAGAGTTCATCGTTTGTGTGTGGGCTGTGATACTGCCCGGGTACCCAAACCGAAGCAGGTGGTTTTCTTAGGGGGCCACTCCCCGAGCCTTTGACCTAAAGGTCTGACCGACAAGGCAGTGGAGCATCGTAAGGAGATGCAATCCCATGGTAGCCGGTGACCAAAGATTGGTTCATACGCCATTTGTTCCCGCAGGATACTGGAGCGCATGTGCACCATTGGTTTGTGATCCGGTTAAAGAGCCGGATATTCGCTTTTCGTCCTCTCATTTTTGTAAACAACACCCCCGCCACGAGAAGGCAATGAGTAGGACTTCCCTGGCAGAGGCTGTATACGCGCGGCCGTGTGAGATTATTTCGAGAGGGAGAGCGGACTCACCCCACTCTCGGCCGTACCAGGGCATTCGGGGGCAAAAATAAGCCGGCGACACCCGGTATTCCCAGCCGGTCACCCATGCAAGTACTGACCGGGCCCAACGTTGCTTAACTGCGGTGATCGGACGAGAACCGGTGCTTTCAACGTGGTATGGTCGCAATGGCTTCAGCAAAGTGGAGAGTGGTAGTTGTTCTTTGTCTATTGATAATTTTAAAAGCGCGCATAATATCGACGGTATGCC